AGGCACGATGTTTGATTGCGTTATCAAAACACGCCACTATTATTCGGCCTTGCTTTTAACTTATTCCACCGAATACCGAATGTGTTTTTTTTTTGCAAAATTCGGCCGAATATATTCGGTTACCGAATATTCAGTGCATCCCTACATGCTACATATCATAACTCCAATATAAGCTAAAGTTAAAGGAGATAGAGAAGATAAACTCATAGGCTTTCTCAGCCCGAACAGCACTGCCACCTTCGACAAACCCAGGCTCCGTTTATGCAAGCTCCAGGTAGTGACCTTGCCTATACTACCTTTCCTAGGATGTTCACCATACTCACATTACATATCATAATTCCAATATAAGCTAAAGTTAAGGGAGATAGAAAAGATTAACTTCACAGAATCAGCAAACACACACACCTTGCAGCATGGTCTCAAACAAAAGGGATCCAAATAGGCCACTCCCACACTTAAATAACCTTCCTCTTCCTGGATTTTCTCCTGAGAGGACTGATTGGTGGATCTCTCCACCTGATCTCAAGGAGTTATGTACCCTTTTTAGTAGTTCCCCCTGCTGGCCCCCAACTTACATTATTCTTCCTCATCCAAATCCACTGACTAGCTTTTGCTGCTTCATCTGACATTTCCTTCACTGTCTTCCTCAAGCTCTGTCCCTGCACTCCGAGTTCCCCCAACAGCAAGAAAGCTGATCTTGCTATGAATCCCCTACGCCCCACTTCCACTGGACAAATCCTAGTTTTCCATCCTCGCTGCTCAGCTTCTGCTCCTAAGCTTCTTTCTTTCATAGGCTTCTTTCACTGAGTCTTCCCATGCAACTGTCAGCTCAATGAAATAAACTATCCGTTGACTCACTGACCACAACACTATTTCAGGCCTCTGATTTGTACAAACTATTTCCTGGGGAACAACAAGCTTTCCCCCTAAATTTACTTGCATTTCCCAATCACAAGCACCTTCTAGGCAGCCACACCCTTGCCTCCTTACTAACTTATCACTTCTGTATTTCTCCCCCTCACGGACAAACAAATTGCTTAACTCCTATTCTTAAAAATCTGAATTTGCCTGTCTTTGTTTTCCTTCGATGCCTGCAGCTAAACTTTTCAACACCTGGTTATGTCGCCATGTATATCGGCCTTGTGACAAGCTAACTTTACAGCCTGATAAAATATGCTTTAATGTTGCTGTACTTGAACACAATGGGCATGATGGGTCCTCATTTACCCACAGTTTTAGGTTCTGGGGGGTTGGTAACACATCGTATGTAGCTCCTACCAGGAATCTAATACGATTCTCCTCCATACTCCACAGGTCCCTCCAACTAAGCTTCCTCTTATCTACACTTTCCCAATTCAGCCACTGTCCCTGCTTAGCCTGGGCCACAACCTTTGCACCCCTTAATATCTTCTCCTGTCTACGTATCTGTTCCACAACAAGCTTTCTTTTATCTTTGGGACCTGCTTTATTCCATACCGGTTTGCCTGAGCCAAGCCCAAGGCCTCCACGGACAAACTGAACATTACCTACAATCTCTGCATGCCTAAGAGCTGCCTCTGCCTCCTGAACTGCCACTCTTGGCTTCCACTTCCTCCCCTTGGTTGGCTTTGGGGCCACACTCCTAACTACCACGTCCTTACTTCCAGATAACAACAGCTCTGTCTTGACCTTGGTACATTTAAATTCCTCTGTTAAACTAGACACTTGCAGCTGAAGTATCCCTTTTCCATACAATGCAACACTACTTAGGCACCTAGGAGCGCCCAGCCACTTCCTAATATAGGAGCTAACCGACCTTTCAGTTCACTCCACAACAGATACTGGAATTTCATAAATTGACAGTGGCCACATTAACCAGTTCAGTTCAGTTCAGGCTTTATTTGTCACATAGTGAAATGTAAACAGTCGGCTCCATGATGTATGAACACACAACAACTCTGACACAAACAACCAACAACAACAGTACAAACACAACCAATAGCTTAACCTAGGATATAGCCCAAACTGCAAACACCACAACTTTCCTGTAAGTTCTGATTCATCTATTCTATCCAATCCTTCAGCCACATCTTTTCTAAATTTCACCACCTGTTCCTCATCATTCAACTCCATATTGTACCACCTACCTAAGCTCTTTACTGACTTTTCCCTAATTGTTGGGATTTCCTCATCATCTATGACATATAATACCTGTTTCTAGCCTCTGCCAACCTGTTGTGAAACCCGCCGTACTTAGACACAGCCTAATATCCTGAAAATATGCTTTCACTAAGTTAACAACTACATGTGGCACTTTGAAGTAGTCAAATGCACTCCAAATAAGGCTATGTGGTACTGAACCAAACACATTTGCAAGATCTAAAAATATTACATGCAGGTCCCTTTTTTAAATCTTCGCTGCTTGAATCTGGTGCTGGATCATGCTAGTATGCTCTAAACACCCTGCAAAACATGGTATTCCTGCCTTCTGCACCATAGTATCTATTAAGCTATTCCTTACCAAGTAGCTAGCTAATCTCTGCGCTACTTCACTAAAGAAAATCTTCCCCTCCACATTCAAGAGAGAAATCATCCAGAATTGGCCAAGGTCCATGGACTCCTTCTCCTTAGGAATGAGGACACCCCCTGCCCTACGCCATGCTCTTGGGATAATTTGTTTCTCCCAAACTATTCTTAGTTGTTTCCACAATAATTTAAGGATATCAGGTGCACTTTTATAAATTCGGTAGGTGACTCCTTTAGGCCCTGGGGCTTAAGAAGTCTTTGCACGCCTGACCACCTCCTGAACTTCCTTCCACCTAGGTGGCCTGACATCCATCTCATGCTCTATCCCTTCTAATGGAGGGATATCCAGTGGAAAACCTACTATCCTATTCTTCTCTAAATCTGAATATGTATTTCTCAAATATTCTTCAACCTATAGCCTTTCTGCTTTAAGCTTCCCTTTTCCCCCTTTTCCTGGCTAAACAATCCTTTAACAAACTGAAAAGGGTCCCTGAAAAAAGCTGTTCTTGCATATTCCTTCTTCCTCCTCTTTTTTCTGAGGTGCTCTGCCCTTATAAGAGCTGCTAGCCTGTTTCTCAACTCCTTGTGCAACACATTAATTCCCTCCCTTTCTTCTTCTGTAGCCTTTTTCCACTGCTTTCTTAACTGTCTCCTTTCCTTAACTAACTTCTTTATTTCTCTTTGCCACCTAGACTTACCTGACTGTACCCTCTCATTCCTCTTTCTCTCTTGCACCCCAGACCTCTCTGCACCATATGAGTAAATTATATCCCCCTTTTCTAATTTTTCTACTGCATTTCCTCTAAGCCTGTTTAAGATTATTGACAAATCTCTATTAACTATCACCCATTCTTTACTGTAATTTGCCCTAGGCCATCTAACTCTAACCTTTTGCTCCATGGTTCTCTCTCTGACTGGCCTGCTAACCTCAGTTTCACCTGCATCCCCTCTTACTACCTCCTCCTCCTCCTCCTCCTCCTCCTCCTCCTCCTCCTCCTCAGTGGCAGTGTTACTGATATCCTACGAACTGTTGTTTTCTACCCGTCGCTGGACCTCATCTGGACTGACTCGACTGACTTCTTAGGAAGTACTGATCAATGCGGCTACTCTGCCCTTTCTTTGCCACACACTTCTTCTTCCCCTGATGAGTTCTGAGGCCTTTTATTGATGTTATTTTCTGCCAGCCACAAGGACAAACCTGAAGCATCTTGTGCTACTTGTCCACTACAGATGTGCTCGCCTTGCCCTGAGTGCTGCTAATTCTAGCCCTGGTGGATAGGTCCGTGCCCCCATCCTTCACTGAGTCACAGATCCAATGCATAGTCGTGTCCGTTCCAATGTCTGTTACCGTGTAATCCACCTGTGAGTCATCTTCCACCCCAGCTCTCGCTGACTCTTGGGGTACTTTCCCTATGTTGGCTGTAGCTAATTTGGTTGTAGCAAGGCTGCTAGGCCTCACCACTGCTGCCATGGTTTTGCTAGCCCATGTCAGCATCTTTGGGGTCTTTTCCCTCCTGTCAGCTGTCATTCCAAGCGGTAACATGGTCTTTCCCTTGTTGTCAGCTGCCCTATTCACAGCAGTCACTAGCTGGGCTAGTTCTCAATTCAAATAAACACAAGAAATTTGTGCTTTAGAGAAAGGATCAGCACTCAGTGAATAACTTCCTAAGCCCTATGATAAGCTATTATGGCACGGCTAAACTGTACAGACCAACGAGCAGTGATGTTAATATTAAAGTAACAAATCTATGAAAAAAAAACCTGAATATTTTTCATAGTTAAAGTAAGAAATGTACAAAAAAAATTCAAATATTTTTCATAATTAAAGTAACAAAGGTTGTTGAGATTAGCATTGTATTAATATGACAATAACATGAACAAGTCTGCTCAGCTTTTTGGCTAATGTTTATGTACACAATTTGCCATCAGCAGTTTTATACATCCTAAAACTGAAAATAACAAGTCAACTAAGTTTTAAAATAGTAAACCGATGTTGACTTACGCAGGACACAAACCCTAGTTGACAGGGTGAAAGTCCTGCTTGAACTTTTTATCCACCACTTCCTACATGGACTTTGACAGTCTTTAAACTGCATCACCTGACTTTGTGACAGAAAGCCCTGAAGTCTTTTTTTTTCCATAAAATTGTGACTTTAATTTCAGAGAATTTCTGAGGGTTTTTATCTGTGACTTCATAATCTCAGAGGAATATTCAAGCTTTTTTTTTCATACATTTGCAAGTTTTTCTCTCATAATTTTACCCCCTTTGTTGAGCAGGTCAGATCATCAAAGTACAACGTTTAATGGCATTCGTTAGCTCGGCTGTTTTATTACAGCTTTTCATTTTGTTTCCCAGGAAATTGTTTAAGTCATTATAGACTTTGTTTGAATTTGTTTTATTTTTAGGGAAAAATGGTGAAAAAGGCATAACTTTTCCATCCACACATCTTTGGTTAGTCGAGTGAATCTTTCTTTGTCTCTGTATGTCTCTGTAGGTCTCCATAGGGAAGATGTTTGAGACCCAGAGGATTGTGGTGGAGAATAAACCTTCTGCTTGAGATGAAAAGGTGGAGGTGGAAGGAGCACTGTCCCAGCAAACAACAGGAAGTGACATCACAGCCTGGAGCGCATCACTGCCAAGACATCATCATCACCCCAAACAAACATTCTGCTTCCTCTGCAACCCAAACACTGTTTCTTCTGATGGGTGGAGGTGGAGGGGTGAAAAGCATTGTGGAAGATGTAGGCTCCCTGTAGGCTAGCTGTGAAGTACCTGAAGTTTGTTGGAGTTTAGACTCTTTTTTTTTTTTTTTTCATGGATGCACCGATCTGTTCCTGATCACCGATTTTGAATGCGTATGATTAAGTGATCTTTGATCAATCACAGATTGATCACAGCTCATTTCTGCCAAAGTAATGAAAAAAAAATGTAGCTGTAACTTTCTAAAAACAATGACTTGATATAGGGCTGGGCAATATATCAATATTATATCAATATGGTGTTAGGGGACTAGATATTAGATTTTGGATAATGTAATATTCCAAGTGTTGTCTTTTCATGGTTGTAAAGACTGCATTGTAGTAAAGTAAAGTAATTTTCTGAACACACCAGACTGTTCTAGCTGTTTCCCTACATAGTCATTTTATCTACATTACTGGTGATTTATCAATAATCAAATTGTGTAATTATCTTGTGAAAACACTTGTAGTCCACCCCACAATATCGTCACAATATTGATATGGAGGTATTTGGATATTCAGCTCTTCACATTGCCCAGCCCTAATTACTACTATTCAGTACAGATGGGAATCACCAGAGGATCCAGGATACAATATTACCACAATAATGAAGTCACAATACAATATTTAGGCAATTTTAAACCATTTGTGATATGCAAAGTATTGCAATAACATATATTGCAATTTATTATGGTTATCCACCTGCAAATTATGTCCCCAAATGAAAACTTTGTCAACTTCTGTTTTATGTAATTTGATACAAAATGTATATTAAGTTCATCTCACCTCAGTCATTTGTGTTGCAGCAAAATGTATCTAGTGGACTGAAGAAGAAAAAAACATTTAATTTGTGTTCGCAATATTAATAATGTATAGAGACTAAATTAAAAGAAATCAATACTGGGTGTCCGTGTATCAATGAAATATTGACACTCAAAATATCATTATATGATGCTGTATCATATTTTTCCCTCACCCCTACTAACTATATTTTTTTTATATTAAGTCATTATTTTGTCATACTAAGTCACTATCTTGAGAAAGTTTTTCTTTATTATCATATTGGCAGAAATGGGCTGCCATACAATCAGTGATGTTTTGGCAGTTTTATTTGAAAAATGACTTAAATAATGAATAGATTATCAGATTTAGTGTTGTTGTTTGACCAAAGAGTTATCTTACTTCTCAGATTATTACATTTGAGGCTTTTTTAGAGACACTAAGAGGTCAAAACATCAGGAAGAGTGCTGATAGAAAGTTTTTTCATTTTCATACGGTTAATCAGCTTTATCTTCAGTGTCTGTACTGTTTCAGTTTTATAATTTAAAGTTACATTATAGTTTTGTCAGCAGATTATTGTTTGAGCTTTATTATTCAGAAATAAATAAAGTTAGAACATATTTATAGGGCTGCAACTAAAAATAATTTTAATTATCTACTAATCGTTTTGACAGTAAAATGTTTAATTTTCCAGAGCCCAGGGTGATGTCTTTGTATGTTTTGTTTTAGCCAACCAGCAGTCCATAAATCCCAAACTGTTCGTATTATTATGTATAACAAGGAAAAGCAGCAAATTCTCACATGTAAAAAGCATGAAACCAACAAATGTTAAAGAAAAATAAATAAAAAAGATCTCAGTCAAGTCATGGAAATGTGAACATCTCCAGTTCAACTACTTAACAGACTTTCAGTCTCAGATCACTTACGTATGGCTCCAAGTCTGTTCAGTCAAGTCATGGAAATGTGAACATCTCCAGTTCAACTACTTAATAGACTTTCAGTCTCTGATCACTGACGTATGGCTCCAATAACAAACAGCTCAGACTGTTGGAAATTGAATATAATAAGCTGACTTGTCTGATCGGTGCATCCACGATTTATTAATTTTCTGTCTAGTATTATTTTTGTATTCTAACGCACAAGTTGTCCATCCTTTATGTGATTATCTGATACGTTGGACAATAATAATCTATAAAAAAACTGAAACATGAAATTTCTATAATATTCACTCATTCTCTTCTTTATTTATGTCGGAGAAACCTCAGTGTTCTGTGAAATGAAAACCTCCACAGCAGAGTGTGGACATGCTGCCGTCACTCAGAGACACTTTCTGTTTATTATCACAGATCAGAGAAGTGTCAGATTTTAAAAGTAGCTGTTAGCAGTTAGCAGCTAACTCAAAGAAGAGTAACAGCAGCCTAAAAAGTCCACAATTTGTGGTAACAACGAAGTCCAGAGGCCCCTTATCCTTCAAGCAGAGGACAAGATCAGCCACCATATCACAGGGATGGTAAATAAATGTTATGTCATTGTTATTATTTGTAAAGTGCTGCCAACACACGTCATATGTCACACTAGAGGCAGACACTGTTGTGTTACATTGCGCCAGTCACCTCTTTTAACTCCACAAAGCCGCAGTGCAGTGCACACTCACACACTGGAGTGGAGTGATGCCACCGTCACTTAGTTCTGTGTAAAAATGCAAAGGGGGCCTAAAGAAGGGACTGTGTAGCAGCTCAATAGAGCAATCTCTGTGTATGAAAAGACTACAGAAAAAGAGCAGGGCAAGGAGGAGCTGAGCAAATGAGCTGTGAGCAACTCAGCTGAAATAAGATGAAATTATAGCTGCTGTGCAGCGATGGGTCAGGTCCGGGCATTTTTAGGCAATTCTGAGCAACAAGTAGAAGAATTGGAAGACATTTAGGAATTTAGCAACACAATCTGCCTTTTGCATCAGCTGAGGCTTGAACTCATAACCGTTGAGACTAAGAATCAATTTCTATCTCACTGAGCTAATTAGTGATAATTCATGTGTAGCTTCACAAATTGACTAAGCCAGACGTGCAGGTTTAGCAGCCGTCCATGCATGGAAAAGCAGATTTCAAACCACTGTAAAAAATTCACTTATCGAAACAAAAATCTGAAAATACACATATTGCATCTAAACAGCATGGAGATGTTGGTAATTTATTTTAACAATGATTGATTTGCTTCATAAGTGAAAAACTGATGTTTAACTAGTTGAGTTATGTGCAAAGTGAGAAGCCTCAGATGGTTTCACACTGAAGTGTTGACACTGGACCTTTGTGCAAAGTTTGGTTTATTTTCAAGCATGAGAAGGCAGATTTTCTAGCAGAAAAAAAGACTTGAAGATGCTGCACAGTGATCAGTCACGCTCAGGCAATTTTAAGCAATAAGCTGGAGCACAAGAAGATGATTACATTACAATGTGGATTCTGCACCAGGTGAGGCTCAAACCTGCAACCTCTGGAACCTAAGATGATCATCTACCACTCTGAGCTAATTGGCAAGTAGCAACTCAACAGGGGCTTCACAAATTGAGTAAGCCATTTACTGTTGTGTAGGAAAGCAGCTATCCATGCATGGAAAGGCAGATTTGAAACCACTGTAAAAAATTCAGTTATTAAGGCAAAAATCTGAAAATACAGTACACATATTGCATCTAGACAGCATGGAGATGTTGGTAATTTGTTTGTAACAATGATTGATTTGCTCCATAAGTGAAAAACTGATGTTTAAAATTGCCATTTTTACATTGACTCCAATTGTTCACATTAGAGCAAAATTCAAAATGCTGTCAAAAATTCAGTTTTTGAGATAAAATTCTGAAATTTGCGACACATCATCATCCATGACTCTAGAATTTTGTCATTTTTTTCATGAACATTGAAGATTTATTCAGCAAGAATTTGCATGTATATGTTTACAGTACCGTTTACAGTCAAACATTTTGATGCACTGTAGACTCAATTTTTGATAAATCAAAAATCTGAGAAACAGTTTTTGTAGGATAGTCTGAAGATGCTCTGTAGCAAGTTTGGTGTCAATTGAGCAAAAATTGTGGGAGGAGATAGGTTTAAGAAGTTTTACAGTTTTTGAAAAAAACAGTGATGAACTTAATAATTTTTAATAGGTTTAAATGTACCAAAGTTTCTTCAGTATTGGGGCTACGGTTGTGATTGTCTTTGGAACTCGGCCTACGGCCTCGTGCCAGGACCGAATCACAGCCATGACGATATCACAGTACAACATCACGAGCTCGAGTGTGATATTGCTTAAATATGATGGTTTTTTTAGTAAGCTATCCAGTATTGTATCAGAACTAAAAGCTCCACCTTAAACAGACGTGAAGTCATTTTTAGTACATTGTTCCTTCATCACTTATTATTGTTCTCCTCCAGCCCCCTGCTTCTTGCATCCCTGAACACCATTTTTTAACACCTGTATGGTATGGAAAGAAACACTTGACATCCTGGTAGCAAACGATTTATTTAAATGGTGTAAGGGCCACAGAATAATTTGAGAGTTGACAAAACGCTATCATTGAATTTTAGATCAGTAGGCACATAGAAAACTATTTTCTGCAAATGAAGTTAATATATGGTGACACAGCAATGTGTAAGACTGATTTGATGAATATTTCTCTTTTTGGTGTTGCACTTAGTAGAAAGTTCCTGCGCTCACGGCTCACAGCAGGCTGATCACATATAGTAACGTTTTCTGTGCAGCTTGGAGGGCAGATCATTTTGATGAAATGTAGCTCATTGTCTTGGTTGGAAAGAAGCATCGTTTGTGTTTTATCAACTCCTTGCTTATGGGTTATTGGTCCTGGAAGTTCGACTTCATGAATATCTTTCCAACTTTAACAAATTGGTTTAGATTCTGTCTATACATATCCAGATACTTTTGTATACGGATATTTTTCCCCTCTGTTAAAAAAAAACAAACAAAAACCCCCACAAAATATCTCCGATGCACTAGAACGTTAAAACGACTCCAAATGCTCATATGTACAGTGTTCACACAGACAGTGAGGTGATGCTGCAGAGCTTCATGCTGCTGTAACTGTTGTATTTCTACATCTAAAAGCTGGTCTGCATATATTTATTGAGCTGTGCAGCTGCTGCATCGTCACCAACATGGTTCTGCGAATATTTCACCGTAAAAACCCTTGTGTTAAATGAAGGGATTCTGTCCACAGAAATGTTGTCCGAGGACTTTTATTTTGAAACGGAAAAGGAAGTGTTGAGTTAAAACAACGAATACTTTAATTTATATATTCATACTCGTGTCTGTGACAGATACAATCATTGAAACTGTAGTGAAAGAAGGTACGATGTCAGCATGATTATCAAAACACCATTTTCACTGTCTATGCTTTTGTTGAAAATGTGCATCACGCAAAAAAACAGGCAAGACTCCTTTTCTCTAGATGTTCTGCAGCTGAGCAGCAGTCGAGCCGTGTTTGAGCAGCGCTGCATAGGAGGGCAGTGTGACCCAGGGCGGGGGGGTTAGCTGTCACCTACTGAAGCCTCTCATCATCACTGATTCTCATTACATTTCAGGACAAAGAAACTCACTTAACTATACCAGTGATGTTCTGGACATGCTAAAGTTTTCTGTCCACTTCTCATCAACAACAATCCCACTCTGGAAAGTGTCCCACTACTGCTGGTTCAACTGGCTCTGAGTTTAAGTGTAAAGTTGTCATTAGACCAAGCAGTGATAAAAAAAAAAACCTTTAAAAAGCAGGAGTCCGCCATTGTTATTGTTGTTTCTAGTGTATTCTCATTCCACAAAGCATCAGGTACACGCAATTTGAGAAGATTACTTCATCATTTCCCAAACGCTGTGTTTTACACGTTCACACAGATAAACAGTAAATGGAGTTTAGATAAATCTTCACATTAGAGGGCATTTTAAAAAAATCTCCATTTAAGTGACTTAAACTGTGTTTGCATGTGGACGTGAGGCCCAAACGTAGAGGAAAATATTTTCAGTTTACAAAATATCTGGATACATACAGTACAGGCCAAAAGTTTGGACACACCTTCTCATTCAATGCGTTTTCTTTATTTTCATGACTATTTACATTGTAGATTCTCACTGAAGGCATCAAAACTATGAATGAACACATGTGGAGTTATGTACTTAACAAAAAAAGGTGAAATAACTGAAAACATGTTTTATATTCTAGTTTCTTCAAAATAGCCAACCTTTGCTCTGATTATTGCTTTGCACACTCTTGGCATTCTCTCAATGAGCTTCAAGAGGTAGTCACCTGAAATGGTTTCCACTTCACAGGTGTGCCTTATCAGGGTTAATTAGTGGAATTTCTTGCTTTATCAATGGGGTTGGGACCATCAGTTGTGTTGTGCAGAAGTCAGGTTAATACACAGCCGACAGCTCTATTGGACAACTGTTAAAATTCATATTATGGCAAGAACCAATCAGCTAACTAAAGAAAAACGAGTGGCCATCATTACTTTAAGAAATGAAGGTCAGTCAGTCCGGAAAATTGCAAAAGCTTTAAATGTGTCCCCAAGTGGAGTCGCAAAAACCATCAAGCGCTACAACAAAACTGGCACACATGAGGACCGACCCAGGAAAGGAAGACCAAGAGTCACCTCTGCTTCTGAGGATAAGTTCATCCGAGTCACCAGCCTCAGAAATGGCAAGTTAACAGCAGCTCAGATCAGAGACCAGATGAATGCCACACAGAGTTCTAGCAGCAGACCCATCTCTAGAACAACTGTTAAGAGGAGACTGCGCCAATCAGGCCTTCATGGTCAAATAGCTGCTAGGAAACCACTGCTAAGGAGAGGCAACAAGCAGAAGAGATTTGTTTGGGCCAAGAAACACAAGGAATGGACATTAGACCAGTGGAAATCTGTGCTTTGGTCTGATGAGTCCAAATTTGAGATCTTTGGTTCCAAGCGCCGTGTCTTTGTGAGACGCAGAAAAGGTGAACGGATGGATTCCACATGCCTGGTTCCCACTGTGAAGCATGGAGGAGGAGGTGTGATGGTGTGGGGGTGTTTTGCTGGTGACACTGTTGGGGATTTATTCAAAATTGAAGGCACACTGAACCAGCATGGCTACCACAGCATCCTGCAGCGACATGCCATCCCATCCGGTTTGCGTTTAGTTGGATGATCATTTATTTTTCAACAGGACAATGACCCCAAACACACCTCCAGGCTGTGT